TTTTTTTTTTTTTTTTTTTTTAACTGATCAGAACAGATACTACACTTGATCTTAGCCAAAAGGCCGAGAAAGGTATAAGACGGTAGTATCGGTCCGACGACAGTAGGGATTTTTGGACTCAGGTCTTGGACGTGATTGCAGCCAGATGCATCCAGGTCCTGCCAGCCGTAATTGCGTTCAGAAACATTTAGAAAAAAGCTGAGCTGGTGTGGAGGGCGAGCGGCCGAGGCAAGATCGTAGAGCACGTAAGTGACATGCAGATGGTCGTGGATTCGATCCCCCAACAACGACCGTTTACTCGATCCCCGCGGCCCCCTGTGGCATGCATGCGTCTGGTTCATCAGCGCGTGATTGCAGGCAGATGCACCCAGCGCCTGCCGTAATTGCGTGCAGATACATTTAGAAAAGCTGATGGATGAGCTGGTGTGAGGGCCAGCGGGCCCCTGTGGCATGCGTGCTTCTGGTTCATCAGCGCGCGTGATTGCAGGCGGATGCGTCCAGGTCCTGCCGTAGTTGTGTTCAGATACATTCAGAGAAGCTGATGAACTGGTGTGAGGGCCAGCGGCCCGCTGTGGCATGCATATGCTTCTGGTTCATCAGCTAAGTACCTGGAATTGGCGTTCTACCTCGCGCGTCAGATGAGGTGAGGTGTTTAGGGATTCGAGGAGGTGCTTAGGGTGTAGGTGCACTACTCGCCCTCCACCAACATTTTGAACGCATCTGGACTCAGTTTTGTCCAGATGCATTCAAAATGGTGTCTCGGATGGCGAGTAGTGCAACTAGGCCCTTAGGCAAGGGTGGTGGTCGGTGTCACTCCATAACGATTAGGGCTGTCTCTTATACACATCTAGATGTGTATAAGAGACAGGGGTGTAGGTGCACTACTCGCCCTCCACCAACATTTTGAACGCATCTGGACTCAGTTTTGTCCAGATGCATTCAAAATGGTGTCGGATGGCGAGTAGTGAGGAGGTCCTTAGGGTGTAGGTGCACTACTCGCCCTCCACCAACATTTTGAACGCATCTGGACTCGGTTTTGTCCAGATGCATGCAAAAAATGGTGTCGGATGGCGAGTAGTGCAACTAGGCCCTTAGGCAAGGGTGGTGGTCGGTGTCACTCCATAACGATTAGGGCACTCGGTGGGTGCAAAATTTAGTGATTCAAAAAAAAAAAACCTGGACTTTTATCTAAGGGTTAGGTAGCAGGAGGCATATGAGAGAAGAATATAACTAAGTAAAAAAAAAGAAAAAAAAAAAGAAAAGGAGGAAAAGTGCTGGTGTGATTATGCCCTCAGAAATGTGGATACGATCGGATAAGGCCATTGATACAGTAATTTCAGTAAACTCACGCCAGGACTTTTTGGACTCCGCTCTGAACGTGATTGCAGCCAGATGCGTCCAGGCCGTGCCGTAATTGCGTTCAGATACGTTTTGAAAAGCTGAGGTGGTGTGATCATGGCCCAACATAGGATAATACTTTTGGAAAAAAAAAAGAAAATAAAAAAGAAGAGGATAGGACAGT